ATTGTTTCATAGTTTTCTTTAAATTTAAACAAACTCAAATTTAACTGAGACTGGACTGGGATTTCTATTTCCCAGCATGCTTTGCCATGACACATATATACTGTATTGTGTATATTGCAGCATGCAAATGCTTACTTATTTAATCGGTAATGCAAAGCTTTGATAGCATAGCAATTGCATGAGTACACCATTATGGGAACCCCCCAAAACCCTGACATAACAGAAGCTATTTGAAATTCGCATAGCAAAACATTAAACACTAAATCTCACACTTGGCATTAATCTTGCAGAAAAAAAAACCACACACACACAACCCACAAACAAACTTTTAATTGGAGCATTTACTCTCCCTTTCGAGTGTCATGGAAAAGCATCCTGGGAAATAGAAATCCCAGCCCAGTTTCAGTTAAATTTAAGTTTGTTTAAATTAAAAGAAACAAGTTCATACAACTTAAAACAATGAAAAAATGCAGGTTTTGTTAATATTTTTGTGGAAACTAATATATTTTGGACATAGTCTGGATCAGAGGTAACCTGAGGATCATCACCCTGAGGTGGCAGCGTGACCTCACAACGCATCCTGAATGGGCGATCTGTTGTTGTGGCATCTAGTCTGGATCAGAGTTAACTTGAGGATCATCAACCTCAGGTGGTAGCGTGACCTCACAACACATGCCTAGAAGCATCAATGAACACTTTTCCGTACGCAAAAACGTACTTTACCTAATCATAGACTGGATTAGTGCGGACACATTTCTAAAAGCTAAATACTCTGGAGAACTAAATGTATGCGACTGGCGCTTATGCTTCACTCAACTGGTTAAGTTTTGCATTAGTAATGCCATGGGCTTGGCTCCCAGAGAACAGGAGGTCAAGTTTTGAGGTAAAAGCATCTGCCAAATGTATTAATGTAATGGAAGATGTATAGTTATATTAATAATCTCTGCTGTAGATTCAACTTGCATGATGTCAACATAACATTCAGCATCAGATAGGATGGGCTAAAACATTTTCATTATATTGATCATCATATTTAAATTTGTGCAAAGATTAGGAACATTTTTTTCACAATAGATGACTAAATCTAGTAGTCAGGGGCCTATTCTGAGGTCCTGGGGCATCTGCTCCATTCATAATCCAGCCCTGCTGCATCTAATTTCGATTTTAAAATTGTTTCACATGCATCAAACTCTGTGCAATTTGTTTGAATCTCTGTGCAATAGCACTGCACTGTTAAATAATTACAACTTATTGTTATATACATAAGAGCATTTTCATTGATTTGTCATGCCATTATCTTTTCCAAGAACACTGCTCCACAATTACTGACTGTCTGCCCTTCTCAGATGACCCTGTAAAAGCTCTTAGTTCTCCACAGTAATGTCCGGAAGTAAACTCTTCCAAGCGGATCTATATGGTTCATCAAGGAATGCCAGGATGGGGGCAATGCAACTTAAATCAACAAATATGCCGTAAAACAGAACACAGACATCTCGAGAGTTGCTACACTTTTAAATTGATACGGTGTCCTAAAACATTAAAATAAATGTACATTTAGCTGTGCACCTGCTTGTGTCATTTTTACTACTGTCTACAAACGACATAAACACAAGAAACATCTTTTTTGGGGTTGATATAAGATTTTTAAAATGTTTTAAGGAGGTCTCTTATGCTCAGCAAGACTGCATCAAAAATAGAGTAAATAAAAAGTTATGTGAAATATTATTACCATTTAAAATAACTGTTTTCTATTTGAATCTATATAAACATGTAATTTATTCCTGTGATGTCAAAGCTGAATTTTCAGCATCATTACTTCCGTCTTGCATGATCCTTCAGAAATCATTCTAATATGCTGATTTGCTGCTCAAGAAACATTTCTTGTTGAAAACAGCTGTGCTGCTTAATATGTTTGTGGAAAGTATACTTATCAGGATTCTTTAATTAATAGAAAGACTCAATGCAAACATTATAAATGTCTTTACTGCCACTTTTGCCACAGGTTTCATTAGTTAACAACTTTAGTTAATATGAACTAAGAATAAACAATATTTAGACAGCATTTATTAATCTTAGTTAATGCTAATTTCAAAATTTACAAATACAAACGTTGTATTTGTTACTATTAGTAATTTCACTGTGAACTAACGTGAACTAACAATGAACGAAATACTGTAACAAATGTATTGCTCATTGTTAGTTCATTTACAGTTAATAAATTAACTAATGTTAACAAATGAGACCTTATTGTAACGTTAAAAAAACACGTTTTTATAAAAAAAACAACACCACAAAATCTTACTGACCCCCAACTTTTGAACGGCAATGCATGTAAAAGCTTCTTCTTTCAAGCCAAATGAAGTTCCTTTCCCACAAAATTGCTGTAATCTGTTTGTGTAAATCTTTACCCAAACAAGAGTTTACAAGCAAATCCCAAGAAATCTGAAGACTCCTGATGGAGGAAATCTGACATGCTGGATCTGTCCGATGGTCTAATACGAGTAAAGCCTTTTTGCAAGATTCAAGCATCCTTGAAGAAGTTTACAGTTACATAAAACTCATTTTCGAAAAGCAGTAACCATCATTTTTTGACATTAGTGTACTGATTAATAAATTGCATAATGCTCTTTTCTCCTCATATACACACACACTCACAAAAGTTTGATGCGTCAAGATGTTTCCTTGCACTTAGATGAGCACTACATCTTGATTAGCATAATTAATTGCTTCCATCCCATTAAAAGCAACTGATATATATATATATATATATATATATATATATATATATATATATATATATATATATTAGTGTTGTCACGATACTAGAATTTCTAACTTCGATACGATACCTTGAAAAATATCGATATTCGATACCATTTTCGATACCACGGAGAAAAAACTGCCACAATATTAAGGGGGTATTTTTTTAATTTAAAGCTAAATATAACAAGTCTAGAACATGACAATGAGGTATATTTTACATGAACAAAAATGTCCTGAGTTCTTGGAGGATAGAGAGTCAGTAATGTATAATAATAAGATTAAACATTCAATTTTCAGTTAAAGGCATGTCATTATTGAATTCAGAGATGCCATTGTCTAGCTGTTTAGTTTAATTAATATCTGTGTAATCAAATTGATGATAATAGCTAATGAAGGAAAATTGCAGAATTAAATAATATTTTTTGAATAAAGTTAAATAGGCACCAGTTAATTTACATTTGACCACAGTTACAATATTTACTTGTCTAAGATTCCTCAGTCAGATTATGTTAACTTTAAGAATTAAAACGAGACAACACAGACTCTTATCAACAACAATACTAGGCCATCTTGGTTAATGTTTCAGAAAAGTTCAAATGGGAAGAGTTACAGTGTTTCCTTGAGGATTTTTTTTTTAGCAGTGGGGGCAGGTCTGTCCAAACAACAAACACCCCTGATGCTGAGCATTTGCTGCTAAATAGTAGCCTACCCCTGGAGCCTGTTCCTTAAGTCTGTTTTCACCTATACAATAATTTAAAAAAATGAGTGATGTGAGGGATTATTGATAGTCAAACAATCTGTTGGGTGCCCGCAGCCCGCTCGCGTGTCCGCACTATTCTCCGATATGCCCGCTCGCGGTGTGTAGCTCGTGTCCGCGCTATTCTCTGACATGCCCGCTCGCGTCCGCGCTATTCTCCGACATGCCCGCTCGCGGTGTGTAGCGCGTGTCCACGCTATTCTCCGACATGCCCGCTCGCGGTGTGTTTTTTACGCGTGTCCGCGCTATTCTCCGACATGCCCGCTCGTGGTGTTCTTAATCAATCAACCAAAGCCGGTCGCGGGGGCGCGGCCCTCGCCATCTTTCCATTCACTTCACTTTTGCTATTTAACCAGAGCGAATGAGACGAGTGCGTCACGTGTGGTGTTTGTCAACGCGCCTTTTGAGAGAAGTGAACGTGACTGCTCGGCTAGTATCGATACTTCGGGAAATTAGTATTGGTACCGTTCAGATATTTCAGTATCGATATTTATCGAAATATCGATATTTTTGACAACACTAATATATATATATATATATATATATATATATATATATATATATATATATATATATATATAAGGATTCATGTTTTGGAAGCTGTTGGAATATTCATAAAAAATATTTTCCATATGAAATTATGAATACTAATGAGATCATGTTGTCGACAAAGACACAGCATTACTAGGACCAGTGTTGGGTAAGTTACACTAAAAAAGTAATTAAATACTATTGCATCTCAAAAAGTGTAATAAGATTACTGTGCTTAAACCCTCTCTTTAAAAAGTATTGCATTATATATTACAAATTACGGTTGAACAATACAGGGATAGACATGAAACTGCTATTTTTAATTCTTTCAAATAAATAATATAAAATTGCATCAATTATTCTTGAACTGACCAGTGTTTAAAGGGAGGTTATATTAAAAACATACATTTTAACATTAGACGTTAAATTCTGATGTTAACTCCACTATTGTTTTATATACGTTTATATATGTTTATTTGGTAGCACTTTATTTTACAGTCCTTTTCCGCATGTACTTACTATGTAGGATACTTATTACAGTGATTACAATAACCAGGTAATAACTAGGTACTAACCTAAACCAATGTAGTTGCCTTATATTACCCAGCTAAGAACACTGTAAGTAGCATACTGTAAAATAAAGTGCAATCAATTGTTCTATAGCCTATACAGTATTTATCAGTAGTAACTAATTAAATAACAGAAAAATTAAGAGTACTTTACTTATTCAAGAGAAAAGTAACTAAATTACAGTAATTAAATTACTTGTTGTAAAACAAAAGTTTCCTTAAAATAAACAATTGAACTTTACAAATACCATCGCTCAGTTGATCATGGGTCTAAATTTGAAAACTAATCTAATACTGTCTCTTACAGTATTATGCAATGAACAAGAGGTGTGCGATGCTGGGTTTGAAGCACAATATAAAGCGCAACCCACTGTTCGTACCGGGCGTCAGGCTCTCGCTCAGGTAGTAGTCGTCAGGGTTGATAAACGGCAGCTGTTGCATCATGGACTGTTTGGGAATGAGGTACAGCACTTCTGCCACACGTCCATCCTCTATGACAGACATGCGTTTGACGGAGTTTGTGCGTTTGATCCGGGTGCGATCCACCTGCTGACTGCGTCCCGAGCCGCACAGTTTCCCCAGGCTGTTCAAAGTGGGAAGGGAAGGCATGGCTGTGGTGCACAATAAGTCCTTAAAAACACACCAAACCTGCCCAAAAATGCTTTAGGAATTAGTCTTCTCCACAACTGACTCAATATCCAGATGCAAATGATGACCGGTGATCTCCCAAAAAGCCCTTTGACCCAGCGGTCAGCTTCCACGTTCCAGCCGGCGAGTCTGCAGAGAGCGCCAAACTCCAACCAAAACACTCTGATCTTCAGGTTAACAAATCTTCAATTAAATGCTTACTCGTCACAATTTAGTGCTTGCCAGATGCAATGCTCCTACTTCTGGCTCAGGTGAAGACCACAGGTGAACCCCAATCCAGAGTGGACAGTAAGAAGTGTCTCGAATAGCTCCTTTCCTTCTCCTAAGCGGATCAACCCTGACGTCTATCTCTCGGACGGGGTTTTCCGACGCCGCTGCAGCACAAGCTCCTTGCTCAGAGCAGTTTAACGACACAACTAAAAATACCCTGATCTGGATCCAAATCAAGAATGGTCATCTTTGAGACAATTAGCAAGCCCTTATTTGAACAGTTCGATTCTTTTTTTAGAAACTGCAGTCCATTATCTATTAATACAATTGAAATGTAATGCACGAGATTAGCTGAAACAGACACAGATTAGTTATAATCCCACAAACTCCTTTAAATCTTTAATCACAGGATTTTCTAATTCAGCCAAAGAAAGCGGCGTCAGAAGGAAAAAATCTGATGTTACAACGATAAAAAAAAAAGGATTATGATCGTGGCAGCAATAATCAAAATGTTAATTCTTCATATGCTCGCAGAGTCTGTAATCTTGAGCAATTCATTTTGTGATATACTATTATTAATATAATGGCAGCTGTTTGGCACAACTCATAAAAAAAATAATCAAACTGTTGTGGTTTAATGAATGTCTTATGGAGATGAAATTAGAGGTGTAATAACCGTTACAAGTTCATAAATCCCACCCAAACCTCTCTATTTGTTCCCTCGCCTCTGGAGGAAATAGGTGAGAACAAATGGGCATAAATAAACAAGCACATTTTCTGATTAAAATCAATAAATAAATAAATAAATAAAATAAAAGGGGAAACAGGAAACGGCAGTTATTTATTATAATAATTTTCTAGAGAATGTATTCAAAATGTCCAGATAAGAATATATGGGATTTTCATTTATTTTGATCTTCATCCAATATTGTAACTACAGCTGAATTTCCCATTGTGCTGAAACTTCATTATGGGTTTTTCTTTTTTGGGGGGCTTTCTGCCAATTTTCTGGGTGGTATTAGAGTTGGCATAATTAAACAAATTACATAAATGATAAAAAGATAGACAATTTAAAAGAAGAGTAAATCAAATTAATTATATAAAATAATAAAGTAAATAAATTGTAATACATATAAAATAATACACAATGCATCCAGAGCACATAACCTTTTGTAACACCCACAGCCAGACAACCGACTAGATCTGATAAAAAACGAGTCCAGTAAACTACATGACAGACATTAGTAATTATAAATCAAACATAGTTTAGTAATCTAATGCTGTTTGAAGAGCAGTGTTGGGGAAGTTACTTTTAAAAGCAATTCATGACAATATTGTGGTACTCCCTAAAAAAAGTAACTAATTGCTTTACTTAGTTACTTTTTATGTAAAGTAATCCATTACATTACTTTTGAATGACTTTTTCTCACCTGGGCTGGCCTTGCTTGTTTGTTTTTTAATAACAAAACAAACAAAATAAGGGATGAAGACAATGCTAACTCACGCCTGTACAGTAGAGGACGCAGCTCAAACAAACCTTTCAGATATTTTGTAGAAAATTTAAAAGTAATGCATTACTTTGAAAAGGTAATCTGATTACGTAACTTGTAATGTCGAAGAGTGCTTTAGGCGCTGTCATTGACTGAAGGAGATAATTCACCAAATGATGACAAATAGTGGAGAAAAGCACTAACCTACTGGCTTTATGAAATTACAGAGTAAAGAATGCGATTTAAGAGACATGTGCTGAGACCCCGCAGAGGGTCTTTCTGCACTCAGATGCATTAGAGAGACCGTGGCTCAGCAGTTTTTACTTATTAAACACACACAGGCTCTGTTTCAAAACCTATAAAGGTGTATATGCTAGCAATATTTTAAGAAAGGTTGTACAGAAAGGTAATTATCTTTCATTTCTAAGATAACTTATTTTGGACAAACTGCTACATCATACTTATCCTTTACAGTGAAGGTTATAAGATAATGCAAAACATCTGGACAGTGATTATATAAATTAATATATACACACGCACACAATTTATTTAATAACTAAAACATTTATTTAATGAATCTATTTGAAGTTTTTCTATTTAATTCAATATTTCTATTTTCCAATATTTCTATTCAATGGATTTTTTTTTTTTGCTCTAAGTATCATGCGATTATCTTGGCAACATACCAGCTCACTAGGTTTTTGGAAAAGAGCATCAAAGAGTTTTGCAGACGCTGATAGAATTTATAACAGAGTCAGACTGAGGCAGAATTAGAATTATGCATGTAATCTTTAAACTGTCAAATGTTGAACATCATTTACATGTCAACTGAAAATGAGATTTTAAAGGGAGGGGTGAAGAGAGATGGGTTTAGAGTGACCGAGAGAGAGAGTGAGAGAAAGAGGGATGAACTTCTCATGATCTTCCTCTGCTTCTGCATGATATAGGGCTTCATGAATAATAGAGCTCTGCTGTCTCCGTTAAATGAAGCTCTCTTCCGATCTCTTTCAAGGCCCTTTCACATGACCCATGCACTGCCAACATGAAAAGTTAAAAATGACACAAAAAGGGCAATTTTACAAGATTGTTAGGTAGAAAGATAGTGGGAAATGTACCATAACCGCTTAAAAACATTTGTGCTTAGAACAGAAAAGGTCCCTGTATAACTGCTTTGATACATTGCAGAAAGGAAAAAATAAACTTGCTGAACATTGAACTTTACTGACCGGGTGCTCTTGGTGAATTTAAATTAGTTCAAGAAAGGGTTTCAATGCATTGGACAATGTTGACGTGATTCAGTGAAAGGGCCTTCAGGCTGAGTGGTTGACCGATATGTGTTTTCAGAAGCAGAAGAGAACAATACAGAGCTTATTTATCCAATCTGAATCTCTGCATGTCCATGGTTTTGTGTATTTGGGACTGCTGGCATAAGATCTGACGTGTCTTTGGAGAGCGAAGTTTTGGAAAGAGGTTCGAAAAATTTCGAAATCAATTACAACACCTTTAATTACCGCAAATTAAACTAGACATTGCTAGAATTTAACACTATTTTAGGCCATTTACATAACAGTCACTATAAATATGAATTACTTATCATTATCATTTATTATTATCAAAGTTTTTTTTTTTTTTTTCACGATTCTGTATTGAACAGAAAGTTTAAAAGAACAGTATTTATTTGAAATGGAAATCTTTTGTAACATTATACACTACCGTTCAAAAGTTTGGGGTCAGTAAGATTTTTTGGGAAATAAATTAAAGAAATGAATTCTTATTTAGCAAGGATGCATTAAATTGATCAGAAGTGACAGTAAAGACATTGCTAATGTTACAAAAGCTTTATATTTCTATTTAATATCAAAAAATTTAACAACTGTTTCCAACATTGATAATCAGAAATGTTACTTGAGCAGCAAATCATCAGAATGATTTCTGAAGGATCATGTGACACTGAAGACTGGAGTAATGATGCTGAAAATTCAGCTTTGCATCACAGGAATAAATTGCATTTTATAATATATATATATAAAAAATTATTCACAATATTAGTGTTTTTACTGTATTTTGAATCAAATAAATGCAGCTTTGGTGAGCAGAAGAGACTTCTTTAAAATAATGTTCTAAACTTCTGAACGGTGGTGTATATATAGAGTGCAAAAATATATTAAAAATAATATAAATAGATATGCATATCACACACACACACTTTTGATCAGTGCAGTATTACAACTCCAAAACCGCTGTGATCCTAAAAATCCCTGTTTTTGTTTATGGTCTCCGAAGATGCCCAAAACTGCTACATCATCTTAGACTCTACTCAACTGATACTCAAACTCTGACAACATCTTAAACATGCCTCTAACATGACACATGAACTTGGCATAGAAACCGCAAAAAGGCTGAAGAGTTTAACATGCTGAAATCCTTCATCCACTGATATCAGTTAATGGGATAGTTCACCCAAAAAATGAAAATTGTCATCATCATTTACTCATCCTCAAGTTCCTCCAAACCTGCATGAATCTCTTATTTCTGCTGAACACAAAAGAAGATATTTTGAAGAATGTCAGTTGATGGGCCCCATTGACTATATTTCTTTTCCATACTATGGAAGTCAATGAAGCCCATATCAACTGTTTGGTTAACCATTTTCTTCAAAATATCTTGTTTTGTGTTCAGCAGAAGAAAGAAATTCAAACAGGTTTGGAACAACTTGAGGGTGAGTAAATGATGACAATTTCCCTTGTTAGGTGACCCCCTTAAAGCATCTCCTGTGATATAAAAAGACCACAGTGAATGAATGGGCAGAACATCATGTCCTCTTCATATATGTTTTAGATACCATCTACGTTAATGTTTTATCATTCAGATTTGTATTCTTCCTTTCACTCACTCCCATTGAATTCCATGTTCTCTACACACTCGGGACAGACGAGTTTGCCGTTTCTTCTGTGAAGTGGACCATACAGCAAATTAGCTTAGCACAAACTAACACAAGGTACAGTGGGAATAAATCTCTCTGCTGCAGAGCAAAGCGCCCCAGTTCACCTCGCGGAAACTGATCCAGCTCCAGCGCACACATCAGAGACAACTCCCTTACAAAGGAAAACAATGAACACAAACCAAGCGTAAACACAAAGCCCCCAAGCCTCCTATAGAGATAAACACATATATCACATAGAACAAGACACTGGGAAGTCTGAGACGGTGCTTACCATCAAGTCCGAAGCAGGAGGTAATTTTTTGGGCGTAGTTGCACAGTCCATCGTAAGGAGGCTGTTTTTGCTGGTGCACTGCACTCTTATCCCCCATCTCTACTGACAAGCATATACACCCTCACACACTCACAGGACGGCCCCGGCAGGACATTCTGAAGCTGC